AGAAAGTCCACCATATAATTTTGCTGACTAATTTTGCATACAGTGCTATAATGGCTGACTACAGTTACCATGCATTTGCCCTTCTGTTCTCCCTGCAGGCTGAAGCCTTTGTTCATGAGTGGGCCCACCTTCGATGGGGGTGTTTGATGAGTGTGCCAGTGACAGGCATTTCTATGCAACTGGGCAGAATCAGGTTAAAGTTACACAGTAATTCAGCATTTTCCTCCTTCTACAAGCCCTTTGTGGTGGGCTTTAGAAACCTGGCTGGTCTTTTTCTATAAACTTTTGAGGTGTCCCTTTTTCTTTTAGTCCTTATTTTATCCCTCATTAAATATCTTTCCTATTTTATGAATAGATCGTGTGATTTTCTCTGCATTCATCTTTAGACATTTCTGTGGTTGATGGATTGGCGATGATGTTGGGCATTACTTTTTTCTGAACTGACACCAGAGACTTAATCACTTCTGTGCTCTGCCACTGGAGAGGAAACGGTGCTTGTACAGAAATCCTCCTTCCCCCCTGCTCACAGTGTTTGTCTGTCTAAGCTTTTCCTTCTCATCTCACCTCTCCCTTCTCGGAGTACACTGCAACTTTGGGGCTTTCCTATTAAGTTTCTGGATCTTTCTTGCTTCGGACTAATTTTTTTTTTATCTTTGCTACCTCTGCACAACTTCACCCCATGCTCTCACCATTGCAGGAGTGCCTGGCTCACTATCTGTTTTTCCTCTCTGTCCATATGGCCAATGGACCTCGAGAAACAGTTTTATTACAGCATATTTGACCTGCAACTCACTGACCAGGTGCCTGTACATAATCGGGAAGCCATTTAACAGGCATTTTCCAGGGTACAGCAATATTTGGAAGTGGTAACTACTGAATTAATAAGACTACTTCTGCAATTGTAAACTTTAAATCTGTAACTGTAATATTTTTACTCAGGCAATAGACTGAAGTGGTGGAGAAGCAAACAAATCAATGATTATTCTTGGTGTCACTTTGCAATGTATATTCATACCTTTTTACAAGGATAACTGTTTTACGCGGGCAGAGTACAGACTACACTCCAAGCACTGTTAAAGTCAGCACTATATTCAGATTGGGTTTTTAAGTGGAAATGTATTCTGTTTTATCCTTAGGTGTTCCTCTGATCTTATCAGCATCTATATCTGTGAAAAAAAATCCCTGCACCAAAGGTAATTGTGTCATTAATAAGCTAACATGGCTTTTTAAGGAAGGATGTGTATTTATTCCTGAAAGAAATCAAACTGCAGAATCGTCAATAATGTATATGCAAAGTTTATCATCTGCAAGTACAAACACATAAGAACAGATTTCTTTCAATGAAACATACTGTTATAAAATTTGCTATATCCTCCTTTTTGAAATGTAACATTTATTTCAACTTTTATGTAAGTAAATCAACTGTAATGCATGCTGTTATTAATGTAAAATGAAGTTTACCATCAGCTGATGTCTCAACTATATCAATCAGCAGCGAAGACTTATTTCCATCCCTTTTTTCATTTGGTATTCTTCTGTTGCTTAATTCTGATTTTTGTCTATTTGTTTATCATTGTAGGTGGCTGAATTCTGTAATGAGCATAACCAGAACAGAGAAGCATCCTGTCTGCAGAATCGAATGTGTGACTACAGAAGCACGTGGGAAGTAATTAAAAATTGTACAGATTTTGAAAATAATCTATTCTTTAGCTTTATAATGAAGTAATAGATGATTTTGCTAAGAAATTAGCGTTTCCTTCAGTTAAAACAGTACAAAAAGGCATCTTAACTTCAGACTGCAGTCTTCTCGAACAGTTTTAACATACCATCAAAACCAGAGGAGCTGCACAGATTGCATATCAGAGAAGAATTTTCATGTTATTCTTATATTCTAGCTAAATGAATCTAGAAAGCACAAATAAATACAACCATTTTTGTTTGATAATTTATGTCATTTTTATAGCTAGGTTCTGACATTGTTAAGAATGATGGGATCTATTCCAAGTACTTGTTTACTTTCCCTGAGAATGGCAGATACAGCCTGAAAGTTTACATCCAAGCTAACAGAACTATTGTGCCACAAACTGCAACGCCATGGGGTCATGCCACGTCTATACCAGGTCATGCAGAAAATGGTACAGCAAATAAGGCAGAGAAAATTATACAGCTATTTATTCCAGCACTGGTATACATCAAGTCCCTTCACAAATACTATGAGTAGGCACCAGAGCAATGACAGCCCAGCTAGGAGGTATTTAGTTTTGAACACTTTTCAAACACTGTGTGTGATTGTTTCCCTTTAACACAAAAAAAGTCTGTATTCCCCAGAAGAATATTTAAAGTCGACTGCAAACAGCTATAATAGAGCAGTATCTGTGTACTACAGATAGACAGGATTTGTGTTTTGCCTGTGAAAAGAATAACTGCAGGTTTATTAACTAGAATACTATAATCAGTCATCTTCAATTAAGAACTGTGAAGTTTTAGTAAATTAAACTCCCCTGTAATTATTTTATAACAAGTAACAGTTACTTCAATTTCATATTAGCTTTCTTAGTAATTAGCACTCTTGAAAAGGTAAAGAAATAGCTATTGCACTAGAAATTATTGTACTTAATTGAGGTTAATGGATTTTTCAGACTTAAAACCATATAGCGAGGTGAAGTTCAGGTCACCTGCATACTACAAGAATATGCATGTAGTTAAGATTAACCAGCATTTTTTAAAGCTTGAGGTAAAATCAAGATGAATCCATCAAGACCCTCCGCTATGAAAAATGATACTCAGATCAGAAGAGGAGCTTTCCATAGAACAGCTGCAGAAGGCTCCTTCATGGAGTCTGCAGTTCCAATGGGACCTTAGGCTGATGTGTTTCCACCATGTAAAATTATTCATCATAGAAGATGCCAGAATAGAAGACGATAAGGTCATTTTATCATGGACTGCCCCAGGAAATTATTTTGATGAAGGCCACAGTATGTTTTTGGCTTGCTATCCTGCCTCTGGCCCAAGGTGAAATTGCAAAATGAATAGCTTTTCTGTGGGCATTTTAAGTGAGCTCCCAACCTTTATCAACAGTATTTTGTTGCATCTGGAAGCACCTGTACAAGCGCCAACTCCATTTTGTCTGTACTTTGTAGCAGAAACTGAAGACTCATCATTTCTCATTTTTCATCATTAATCAAATTGTTGTTAACTATAAATGGCTTAAATGTGCTATTCTAGTAATTCAGTGTGATACACATCACACAACACAAGATCTGTAACAGAGTTTAGTCTCACTGACACCAGTGGGAATCTTGTGCAGTGGTTCCAGGGCCTTATTCTTGCTCTGCTCCTGCAAAGATTTTAAATTGAATTAGCCAATATGTTTTTAGAAAGAGCTTCTTGGAATTTGGATGGAAGGCTTGCTTTCACTATGTTGTAGCATTTTTGCTACTCATGGAAGAGAGACGTATACTCTGTGGATGTAAGGAAAGAATGGAAAGAAACATCAAATTTGGACAAGAAATAGGAATTTTACTTCACTTAGTGCAAGGTCAAATTCAGTGAAGTCAGAAATACTGAGAGACTTCAGTGTGGGTTCGTGATGACTGCCATCATCTTTTCATTTCAGTGCTGTGCTGTGAGAAATTGAATCATTCAAGCACTCGGTTTAGGTAATAAAATAAGTTTTTTGCACATCAACCCGCCATGCTGCATTTATTTTTTCTGGTAGGTGAACTAATGAAACTGATAAGTAAGTAGTACTTTGAAAGTATTTTGAAAAGAAATTATTTTGAAAGAGATCAAAAGTTTGAATGATAGCTAATGTACATGACAATATCTTCTAATATTTGTATTTTCATCCACTAGTTATGAAATCAGAACAAGTGAGACTCCTCTGGAACTAAGAGGCAACTTTTATAACACTGCTTTTGTGAATACTTCCCCTCTATCACCTGAGCATGCTGGCTGCAAAGGTAAGTTAAAAAGTTTCGCTAACCAGTAGTGTGGAGGTGTTTAAAAAGGAATTGGTCCTTACTGTTTGCAAGGCTTCAGTGACTGCTAAAGGCAAACTGAAAACAATCCTTATTTCATATTGATATGGAAAAAAAAACCCCAAACCACACACAGAAGAATTTAGCTAATTTTTCTGTCTAATATTTCAGAAAAAGTGGGATGATGTAATTTCATACCATGACCATCAGGTCATGTTATTTTTTGATACACTAGGAAAACAGATGGAGGTAAATCTTCAACCTGAAGTACTTTTAAAAGCACGTGCCTGGATAAATTTCACACAGTAATTTTAAAAAACTTGCATAAGACCTTCAGCAGCAGTTTACTCTCTTTATTCTTAATGACTCTTACAATATCACCAAGAAGTCATAGTATTTTCCAAAAAGGCAGAGGATGTGACCTGCAAAATTATTGGAAAATCTGCTTAACAGCTGTTCCACAAAAATAATAGTAAAGCCGATACAGAATTCAATCAATAATGAATTAAAGGATGAAAATATAATCAGTGTCAATCACTACCACATTTATTCCATTTTTATTATTTTTAATGCAATTATGAATTTAAACTAACAATGTAGCTCTATCATGAGACATTTGTGAACCGATTACTATGTGATAGTCCAATTTGAAATACAGTACCATGTTGGATTAACCAAGCACCTCCGTAACAAATTAGGAACTACCTAGCTGGGAGATCTCAAAAAGTAGCTGGTAGGGAATCATCATCTAATAGACACTTCTCAAAGGACTGTGAGAAAAATTTCTTTACTGAAAGAGTGGTTAAACATTGGAACAGGCTGCCCAGGGAAGTGGTTGAGTCACCGTCCCTGGAAGTATTTAAAAGACGGGTAGATGAGGCGCTTAGGGACATGGTTTAGTGGGCATGGTGTTGTTGGGTTGACAGTTGGACTCGATGATCTTGGAGGTCTCTTCCAACCTTAATGATTCTATGATTCTATGATTGCAAATCAGTGATAGGCGTGATGCTATTAAATACTTTATCAAGGAATTGGAATAAAATATAAAGTCCCTTCTGGACAAGTTTCTTCAAGTATGAAGTGAGAAATGTTGAGGAGGGGTAGGACAGCCACACAGAGTAATCTGGCTTGCTTGACAAACTGTTCCCACTCAGGAAAAACACATTTTATTCCAAATGGGATGGTTATTCATCTAAAGGCAAACAATGCCATTTAAAAGGGGAGATTTTACATACCAAATACTGTATACAGAACTTATCAGCATTTTACTACCTCACTAATCTAATCTTGCTTTTTCTATTGTTTCAATTCCCTATTACATAATTATTGCATTGTTCAGAACTTTTTTCCAGGAAATTCCAATTGTGTTTTGCAATTATTTCTCTCTTCTAAAATGAATAACAGAGCATAGATCACCTGAAGAGGCATAAGGAAATGAAATTAGTTTTTTTAGTTCACAATAAAACAAGAAGTATTTCCTCCTAAAATTAAGACATAACTAAATGCAGCCAACATATCCAATATAACTGTACTTGCATAGAACATCAGTGTCTTGTTACACCTCTTTTTGACACAAAGGCGGTGTTAGGAGCAAAGAGCAGGTGCGAATCCCTCAGGGACGAGGCACAACACTCAGCGAGTGAAAGCTTTGGCTTTGTGGAAAGCATAGCATTACCACGGTGGGAGCCCCAGCGCTAATCAAAATGGGGACCCGACGCAGCGGAGCCCTGCTTGGGAGTGAAGCTCAAGGGAAAGCACCGCAGGGGTGGATAATCAAACTTGCGCTGATTAACATATCATACATATGCAATGTCCTGTTTGGCTCATTAGCGAACTCACTGATGTAATGCAGGTCCTGTCACTCAGATGCCGAGATCCGCAGCTGGCCATCACGCTGGCGGCCGTGCAATGGGGGGGGAAGCGAATGACCCCGGGTTACTGTGACAACGAGATAAGACGTGCTTGGGACTTCTACGAACTTGGACGGGAAGAAGCAAACTATCGCAGGTTGCTGTAACAAGAAGATAGGATGTGCCTGGGACTCCGCATACTCGGATGGGGGAGGCGAACTATCCTGGGTTACCGTAATGAAGTCTTCCCACACCCTGCAGGCGGTCATATAAATAAGACTGATAAGCCATCGCTTTTCTAACCAAGAACCTCGCAGACGGGAACAAGTAATGGGGGTGTTTCGGAGTTTGATATTTTTGCTGTCTTTTCAGCTCCTGCATGTGGCAAAAGGTTCTATGGTATGGCTAAATAAGAATGGCTATGAGGATTTGGTTGTTGCAATTAATCCCCAGGTGCCAGAAGATGCCAACATCATCCTGAATGTGATGGTAAGAACATTTGCACTTACGTGCATTGTTTCTCAGCAGTCGTGACTTTTCTGCTTGGAAAGTAGCATGAATCAGGTCCAGCTCCCATTCTTGTCAATAGGTTTTTTTCTTGTTGTTTTCAGTTAATCATGGATTAATTCCATAGTTACTAAACTAGTAATTTCTTATTTGTCTTGCCATCTGTTGTCACTACTAAGAGCACTAATTCCCTCAGAGAATGCTGTAATATCTCTGTTGGGAGGCAGACTGAAATTCCTTTAAGTAGCTTTCCAAATTATGTTTACCTGAAAGAATGTCCTATGAATACTTGTTTAATAGCCATTGATTATACTACTGTTTGTCATTAGCTAGCATGTCTCATAATGTTCCTTTAAAAATTGTAAAGGAAAAAAAAAGTTAGGTTTAGTGTCATTTCTGGGCTTAACTTTTATTGCAATCCACATAGATGCCTCAGTGGATAAATTCCCCTAGAATAGGATGCTGGCCAGGTCTCAAAGCAAAGAAACTGTTTTCGAGAAAGTCAAATCCGTTTAGAGCAAACCTGCTG